CCAATTATCGAGCTAGCTACAGCACTGCATAAAACAAAGATATATGTATATAAGGTAACATACTGTAGATTTGACCACTTGAATCCCTGGATTAGGGAATCTGACACAAAATTTCGATTAATGTGAAATCCTGCCCCCCTCATATGCCCTGCCTTGATGCCTACTGTATACAGGTGCATATGATATTGGACAATTTAACTTGTCAAGATACTGTCATATTGCATACTGATTAATTTCAAGAAAAACACAGTTGATTTGACAAGTTCTACTGGCTGTCATTTCAAAATCCTAAAATTCTGACCAGAATATTTTTACAATGGAATAAACCTGAAAGCTAGAAACTGTTTATAAGTAATGTTCAAGCCGTAAAATACTGCCACATATAAAAGTAAATACAAGTTACAGTATTTATATGAAAAAGTTCAACCAATTATAAACAAATTTCTCCATTGACAACAATTTTGCTGGCAGGTAGGGACAAATTTTAAACAACCCATCAACTTACCGGGGGAACCCGGATTCGCATCTTGGTATCTTTCTTCTTTTGACTAGCCATGGACACGGTACGTACACTACTGAACTTTATGGAATATGGAACTTTATACAACACACAGCTTCGCCATCCAAGGGATTCCACCGCTTCAGAAATTCATAGAAGATATTAATATGTATCACACGGCAGAAAAATCGTTGTGTTAACAACAACTAATACGAAAAACAACAGTTTATTAGTTACATGGATCTAATTTTCACAATCCTTTGATTTTTGTCAATTGGCAGATTTTTCTAATTTCTACTCGTCTTTGTTCTTATGGTTGTTGTAGCCAAAATCAGCGACTCCAAAAATTACGTCATTATTTCATTAGGGATACGTCATTTATTTGGAACATTGAACTATAAATAAAACGCACAATGCACTGAAACCACTGAGCTATACTTAATATATCTGGAGATCGTGCTCCAATACCTCGTCAGTCAAAAATGTGTGGCCAAAAACATGGCGGATTTTGGCCAAATTTACGTCATTTTGACGTCACAATCGACCTAAATTTATGGTGAACACCACTGACCTAAAATACAAACGTGAAGAAAAAAGTTATTCACACCCCCCTTTCAATTTGCTTAAAACAGAAGGAGTAAAATAGTAAATTCAAAATTTCGGTCGGAAATTTCTATATTGAAACGAGACATTTGCAACCATGCCAACTTTTTGTTCAATTCCTGGTTTGCCAGAAATCTACTGAAAGAAAGGACCTGTCCTCACATGCGTATTAAGGCTCGTATAATCTCTTTTTTTGTAATAATTTAACGCATGCTGTATTTGCTGTATTGAATGCGTAAAATTGTGAATTCATGAAATTTATTGGCAAGCAACATACAATACAATTTATGTTAGTGTACTACAGTGCAAAAACAGAACAAAATTTTAAAATATTGACAAGCTTGTGGAGCTGTTGTCGAGCAAGTATTTATTTTCATGCAAGTTGATGGATGTGATGCAGTGATGAAATCCTATCGATATCCTAACAGATAATGCTATGTTAAAAAATTTCAAATGAGAATTTTAACAATGTGATAAAGTACAAAGCCTTTCACTCACTGTATTGTCTTTATTGTGGACTAAACCATGTGTTGTATAGTGTGGCATTGTTTATATTGTAAGTTATAGGTATCGTATTGAACAGTGTATTAACTAGACACTAAAAACAATTGTTCATTTACTTCAAAGCTTTCCAGATGAGAAGAGATTCCCTGAATTGCACAGCATATGGGTGAAGATTTTCAAGAATATAAGCAAACTTATGCCAGTGAAGTTTGTTCCTATGAAAAATAGTCGTTTGTGTTCAAAGCATTTTAGTGCTGATATCTTTGAGGAGGATTACAGCCAGAGACCAGTGTTAAAGCCATATGCTGTACCAACAATCTTTAATGATTGCTTTGGTCAACTTGGTTGCGATCTTTACAGTTTATTATCAGTACAATTAATGGTCATACTGTACATGAGGGGTAATTAACCCATTAAGCGCCAGTGCTCTCCCCTTGACGAGTAAAATTGTCTGGCGTTAGACAGAGTAAAATACTAAAATAGGGTGCTTCGCCACTCAATGGGTTAAATTTATTCCTTAATTTTTCTGCTAACAACTTTAAGTTATTTGTACACATTTTGGTCTGTTTAGCTAAGCCAAGATTGCTACATTTACATTTATTTTGACTATTTGTGTTAGTGTACAAATTAGGCTAGCATAATTACTGTAGGTGCTAACCATCAAGTAGGGATTGACATGCATAGAATTGGTTGAGCAGTTTATTTAATTAAATTGGTGTTGTATGTGTTTAAAAATAAAGAATAAATTTTGTTGTGATTTGAAATTGAATATATTATTTATTCTTATTACTAAATGTAATTATACAATTATCTTGGAAAATCTTTTTTTGAATAAAATCTTTTTTTAATAATTCTTCACTGTCGTTCCAATTGAAGTGTTCCTCAAATATTGATTCAATACATTACCTCGGGCTAACCAGTTCATTTGATTAAGTTCCTCAAGATATTCATACACTTCCTAGTATAATTGTAAACTTCCTGTTAAATGGTTTGAATGCACCAATCACCTTTGTTGTTTGTGCAACTAACCAATCATAAATAGAAAGGAAGTGACCAGAAATGATTAAATACTTGGAATTGGCTCTTTCACAGGGAGTGTATGAATATCTGGAGCAACTTGATGAAATGAGATGCTTGTGTGATGTTACTCTGAGTGTATATCCACACCGGGCAGGCTTGAAAAATATGCCTGGCTACAGTGGGATTTGAACCTACGACCTTTGGAATACTAGCCCAAATGCCAATGCTCTGTCAACTGAGCTACGCGGTCAGGTCGGTTTGAATCCCAATGTGGCTTGGCATATTTTTCAAGCTTGCCCGGTGTGGATATGCACTCAGAGTAACATCACACAAGCATCATATTCACAAATATCATAGTTATTAGATTACACTGATATCGAAGGAACTAGACTCAGTTCCGAAATATCGCATACTCAAACTGCCCCGACTGTATAGCTAAGTTGGCAGAGCATTGGGCCAGTATTCCAAAGGTTGTAGGTTCAAATCCCACTGTGGCCAGGCATATTTTTCAAGCCTGCCCAGTGTGGATATCCACTCAGAGTACGTAACATCACACAAGCATCTTATTCACCTGAGTACATGTATTACACCAACACAGCAAATATCTTGATGGAATGAATTGGTCAGCCCGAGGTAATGTATTGAATCAATATTTGAGGAACACTTAAAAATAAGGTATCAATCGCATAAAATGCAGATATCAAAATCAAACATTGTAACTCGAGCATAAAAATGTGCATATTTGTTTTAAAAGGTGATTGTTCCTTGAATGTTCAATGAAATAGTGCCATTGCCTTTTACAAGGAAGACCGGCCATTATAAAGAAATACACTTGACTTTCTTCATTGCCATCTGGTACTTAGTACAGATATCCCATATTTTCTTGATAAATTCATACCTGAAAGCGGAATACATACAGGTGTAAAAAACTTTAATGGTGATATAAGTGCTTTATATTCCAAAGAGTTGCTTTTCCCCACAATTTACTAATAGAATAAACTGGTATTAAAATCTCTAAAAAACCCTTTATCACTCAGGGAAATTTACATTGGGAAATTTATAGCAGTACGTTTTTCAACAAGCTATATTTGCTTAATTTTACTTGCTGGGGATTGTTATAATACTCGTGTTTTAAAGAATAATCTTGATAGTCAGTTGCAACACAAATTCACAATACAAGAATTGATAAATCATTTCAATGACTTACATGCTTTGTTCTTGTGGCCGTCAAGCTCCATTCATGTCTTTTTTTATTAATGGCTTTTGGTCTTTATTGATTTATACGCGCAGTTAGAATAATACTGTATTTTCAAAAGGACGAAAATCAAAAATATACTCTCTGTCGATCAACTAATATAAACATACAAAATCACTGTAAAATCCAGGGGGGGTTGAACTTTGTCGCCCACGAACATTCGAGCCGCGGGTCAGTGGAAACCCCCATGAAAATAGGTCGATTGTGACGTCAAATCCGCCATGTTTTTGGCCACACACTTTCGTCGAGAGCACGATCTCCAGATATATAAGTATAGCTCAGTGACTGAAACACACTGAATTTAATTGTGCGTCATAACCACTGAGCTATACTATATTACTGGAGGACCTGCTTCTATACTTCGTTCAGTCAACGAAGTGTCCGCAAAAACATGGCGGATTTTGAGTGAAAATGACGCCATTTCCATGACTACTGGTCCCTAAATTCATGGTAATTGCCACTGAATAAGGCTCAAATATGAGCCCGCCACAGTGTTCACACCCCCCTGGTTTTTATAAAAATATTTCGGCTTTTTGCATTGAATACTTGTTGTTTTGATATTTTCGACATATGTTTTCGACTGTTGACCATTTGTTCAAAGGTGTGGAAGCCGTACACGTTCATTGTCGTCCGTGGAGCGTGAAAGGGCCCGCAGTAATTGGCTATTCGCTGTTGCGGTCACCCAGCCGTGGTCATGTACCTACTGTATTTCATTATGTACGTTTGTTTTTGTCCTGTCATGTAATGTACTGTTTCATCGGCAAAGTTTATAAATTTAAAAAAAAAAAAAAATTAAAGACAACAAACAACTATTAAAACCTCGCGAAAGCCGAAATGTGGACAAAAACGATACTTCAAGCCAGAGCAAACATCCGTATTTATCAGACTATAAACAGGTATTTATAAATATTTCAAAATTCACATTACTATTTTAAATATTTCATGAAAAAATGTTGGGAAAAAATGTTAGGAATAAATGGTAGAATGTACTCTATTTTTTAGAAAACAAGCCATGAGTATTTATGTGGTTGTAGACGAACCTTTTTATAACTTTAAAATCTAATAATTTTATCCCTCAATCCCAATGAATTAATGGTTGTGCATGTATATGAATTTGACAAATATTTGACATGAAACTATGATGTGCTAGTATATTAAAGAGGGAAGTAAGGTTTTATATATAGATTTAGCCAAGGTCGGGTTTTGTCATGCATAAGCTTGTGGTGAACTGG